TTTTTAATTTTAGCCAGCCACGTGGGTTTAATGGCGGGCGGGCCACCCGCAACCCTGCGGGTTGCGGCGGCCTGCGGCCAAACAATACCGGTCAAGCCCGAAACGGATCTGTCAAAAAATACTGGGTTTGTCCCGCTACAGCAAGACCGTTGGGGACGGACTGGGACCGCTTGTGTTAACCGGTCACTTAAAATGTCCCACCCAGCACTACCAGACCCGAAATAACAGCAACACCATCGTTAATACAAATTTTTAGATAAAGCTTATCAGCTGTTACTTCATAAGTATCAAAAGCACTAAGAGATTATCAACTTCGCTGAACACGAGACACCAGCACTCACAAGTACGTACACTCGACTATGACGAACTGTCTCGGCTTCTACGACGGAACGCTATTTCTACAGGTGGAAAATGCCAATCTACTGGTGCATTGTGATTTCTACAGAAGGGATAGGGAACGTAGGGTCCATTAATTAGTCCATAAGGACTTAAATTTAGTCATCCTGTCAGATTCGTTTGCGGTCTACATGTCGGTAATGTAGAGTAACGATCTTGAAGTGGCTTCAAATTAACCTCCATTGAGCAGTTATCACGTTTTTACGAAGTCTGCCTCTGTCCGGGCATAACAATCGACAAACTCTATAATATACAGTCCATTGCCTAGCTGATATAGACGAATTTATGAGCTTACAATCCAACGAGTGGTGAATTCATTGCATTGTCTATTGTTTAGGGCAGTAAATTGCTCCGGTAGTAGACTTTAATACGTCTTGCTGATCCTGATCCCATACTCGCACATCTGCCCAAATTGTTCTCATAGACCCACCATACCAATGGGTCGTACAGGTACGTCGAGAAGCCACTGAGTGCTTACAACATATCGAAAGCCATGTTTGAATCAGAAACTAATCAGTCCATCTTCGGTCGTCGAGTGACATATTTCAGTGTACGACGACTTAAATCTCCGCGCTAGTTTCAGTGCTGCAGGCAACATTGGAGACCCCAACTAGCCGATTTTGTCGTAGTCCATCCGTGTTTTTTGTTTGCTATAAGCATCGAATATTTGGTTGGAGACCGATCTAAAAACCTATACGAAGGGTATACGTCAGCTGCATCATAGTTCACTCGACTCTAAACTTCTGTGTGGATAGTACCACCGCATAAGCCAAACTGGTATGTCATCATCATTACAAAATGCGTTGTGTACACTCAGCAACAATTAAAATTATACACTGCAGTACGATATATTCGTGCGTTTGTGTGGTGGGTCGTGGAGTATCCTTAGCACGCATGCATGGCTTAGTTTACCTTGGTAAGGTTGACCAATGCTATCAGGAGGCTTACGGGCTAAAACGAGATAGGCCATCACCAAATACATTGCTGATAGCCCAGCTTTTTGCCATTAGTCTGCCAATCTACACTTATTGGTTATTAGTGTTGACTGTTTTCACGAGATCCTACGTTCTTTGGGGCAAGAGCAGTACTATCTTCTTTACACATCCACATGTGCCAATCGGCTATAGAGTTGCTATGGATGCCATCATGCATAGCATATCGTCGCTCAGGACGACAAAAGTGGTTTCGAGAGTCAGAGATTGTAGATCAAGTACGGTTACCGAGAAAGCCTTTTAGAGTTGTACGTCGGCATAGTTCTAGTTGTAAAACGTGTATGTGCCGCGTGAAGCACGATCACATCCATATCATCGATACGTATGGATTTATCAATAGGTAACGAGACAAACGTCAGTGGAGCAATGAAATGGTTCAGACAAGAAAAGTGCAGTGTTTTTAATATAAACAAAAGTGTTGAATAGCTGAAACAAATTACTCGAGACTGAGAGCTGAGCCAGCTTGAGCCGGACGGCCGCGTTTCTTTTTAATACGCTGGTCCTCAAAGACTTGTCGTTTGGCTACAGATTCTTCGGCATTGCCGAGAGGGTCAGCACTTCTATTAGATGCACGCACACACCCAGCTTAAACCACGTTCTACAGCTACACTGTCGAAAGTCGGGGTGAACGAACCAACCAATTGCGGGTTGCGACTCTGCTTCAAAATCGTATTCAACTGCTGACTGCTCCTCCGCTTCTGGGGGCTTATTTGACAGTGTAGTTCTGGTGTACCGCTGATAAACGTTATACAAGCGACCGCTATGAACGTTGACCGTTGTTGCTGGGACAAGGGTGATACTAAACGCATTCTGAGCCGATAATGTACCATAGGCACGCAAGTATTTGTTTTGGTATGATCCAAACCAAATCAAAAGGTGATCGAATAATTAGGCCACGGGAATAATGGGTCTTTATTGTTTAGCCAACAAATATATCATTCTGTGATGGAAAAAGAACTGTGTAGTTATTGGAAGTCGTTCATCTCCGAGATACTACCTGTATCTCACACACAGTTGGTAATTCAGTACAATATATATCATTTTGGTTCTTCTCAACTACCAACGCCGCTCGTGTTGATTTTCAGCATGTTGTCGTTAGCATTGTGTTTTTAAACTCTGTAGAATTCACCGGCATTTTTCTCGTCGCCGTCACTCACACCATGAAGATTTGTGCATCGTTCCAATTGAGATCTCACAAATCTTGTAGATATCGTTCAATTTTATCCCTCATGAGAGGGATGTTCTTGCGAGGGGAGAGTGGGGACGGCGTGTTCGATGGAGTTACGCCATTCTTCAACAAGAGTTTGTAAAATCCTCTGTAAGTTCAGTGTAGCCACTTCGCCGATTGGAGATAGAGCACCAAGCACAACGAATGAAAATTGCATGCTGGTACAGTAGCAGCCGCATGAATGCCAGACGCAGCAGCATCTGCCACCCCGCTTTCCTGCCTTGGACACTATTTGCAATAGATCCTTCTGTTGTCTTCACTGTGTACTAGCCTCGGTATGTTTTATCTCGTCTACGTACTGGATATGGGTACATAGCACGATAACGGTATATCGACTGAATAGCACTTAAGTATGGGCTTCCCAGCTCTCCAGTGTTGTGGGCAAAAATACAACGTACTACAGCTCAAAAAATAAGCCCCTGCAAAAAATCCTATCACTGGGTCACCCGAGGCCCATTTCTGGATTTTTTTTTTGGCTCATCTATGGCAAGAACCCATCCTCAGTTATCAATACTTTGAAATCCCTATGACACATTAATTTAGTTACCAATACAGTCACCAAGCCCTTTCTATGAAAT